TATGTATATATATAAAACCATTAGTCCCTATGCAGAATTTTCCTAAATAATTTTTGTACGCACATGTTGTATACTTGCCACATATTCAGGCAAGCTTTAGTGCTCACAGCCCAAGATAGTAAGTGACTAACTTGTCTCAGTAAGTTATGCAGCTTGTAATATTTAGAACTAGGAGCTAGGGCTAGGATATCTTACTACATCCTTACCATGTGGTTCACGAATCCACAGACAGTAGGTAAATGATAATACAGTTTATTTTTAAATTCTTTTGTACCTTATCTTATGCCAGACACAAAAATCAAATCAAATTGGATAAAAGTGTATATGAAACTCCTAGGGGAGAACACAGGAGAAAAGGGCCTTAACAATAACCATGACAATGATATTTTTGGCTGTGACACCAAAAGCAAAAATACACAAATAGGATACATCCAATTTAAAATCAACAAAATGAAATGGGAAACTGCAGACTGGGAAAAAAATATTTGCAAACCGTTTATCTGATAAAGGGTTAATATCTAAAATTTATAAAGAACACTTATAACTCAATAACAAAAAAAAAAAACCTGGTTTAAAAGTGGGTGGGGCCAAAGAACCTAAACAGACATTTCTCCAAAGAATGGATAAAAATGGCCAATAGGTATTTGAAAAGGTGTTCAACATTAAGTATCAGAAAAATGCAAATTAAAATCATTGAGATGTCACCTCATACCCAGTAGAATGGCTATTTGTCAAAAATACAAGAAATTACAAATGTTGGTAAGGGGATGGAGAAGAGGGTCCCTAGTACACTGTTGGTGGGAATGTAGATTGGTGCAGCCATTATGGAAAATTGTATGGAGCTTCCTAAAGAAATTAAAAATAGAACTACCATATGACACAGCAATCCCTCCTTTGGGTGCATTCCTGAAGCAGATAAAATCATCGCCTTGAAAAGACCATGGACTCCCATGATCACTGCGACATTATTCACAATAGCCAAGCTATGGAAATAATCTAATTTTCCACCAACAGATGAATGGACAAAAATGTGATATATATATATCCCATTGTGGATATATCCAGACTTAGGGATATTATCCAGACTTAGAAAAGGAGATGTTGCCATTTACCACAACGTGAATAGGGCTGGAAGACACTATGCTAAGTGAAATAAGTAAGACAGAAAATATTACGTGATCTCACTTCTATGTGGAGTCTAAAAGAAAGTTCAAATATACGGAGATAGAGGGGGTGGTGGAAGAAGTAGGGAGATACAGAATAAAAGATACAAAATAGCAGATACGTAGGATGGAAGAATCTAGAGGTATAATATACAACATGAGGACGAATAAAACTGTATTGCATTTGGGATTTTTGTTAAGTAGATTTTAGCTGCTCTTGTCACAAAAAAGTAATTATGTGAGGTGATAGGTATCTTAATTTGCTGCCCTTGTATCTCATAACATCATGTTGTAAACCTCCAGTATACACAATTGATATTAATGAATCATTTTCATTAGGCTGTTGCCTGGTATGTTCCTATTCACTGGAAGCAAGCCTGGGAAAAATTAGAGACTGACATTGAATTTGACAGATGCTCAGTAGTCTCTCCAACATTCCGAGGGCACATGTTTCACTGGATAAGATCTACAGGTGTACCTACAAAAACACAAGATCAAGCCAAGAAACATACCTTGAAATGTCACCTGGAACAATATAACGATTTTATTAAGAGGTAACGGTTGTTTTGTTGGTTGGCTTTTTACTGAGTCCTTCTCACAATTAGTAACTTAGCATGTGAGAGTGACTAGATGACAACTAGATGTGTGATGAATAAATAAAGATTTTTAAAAACTATTTGGAATAGAACACGTATGAAACACATAAAAACATAGAATGAGCAGATACACAGTCATGGGACAATGAAGGGTGCTGGTCTTTACTAGGTCATAGTGAGACCTGTGGCCAGTGCACATTTCCTTGGCACTGCTATTGGAGGCAAGGCTTCTGCAGAAAGGTGAAGGGGTGAATTTCTCCCCCAGTCTGTAGCAGTGCTAAGGTGGAGGGAGAGGTGCATCATCTAGAGCAGTGGTTCTCAACCTGTGGGACACGACCCCTCTGTAACAGTGAAAATACATCCTGCATATCAGATGTTTACATTACGATTCATACCAGTAGCAAAACTACTGTTATGAAGTAGCAATGAAAATAATTTTATGGTTGGGGGTCATCACAACGTGAGGAACTGTATTAAAAGGTAGCGGCATTAGGGAGGTTGAGAACCTGGGAGGCGCCTGTGGCTCAAGTGAGTAGGGCACTGGCCCCATATATCAAGGGTGGTGGGTTCAAACCCAGCCCCGGCCAAACTGTAAC